GACTGGAGTGAGCCCACTATTATTAACTCCTTTTTTACTGTGTACTGTGTATTATACTGTGTAATATACTGTATAGGCCGCGGTATTATACTGTGTGATATACTGCATAGGCCGCGATATTATACTGTGTAATATACTGTATAGGCCGCTGTATTATACTGTGTGATATACTGTATAGGCCGCGGTATTATACTGTGTGATATACTGTATAGGCCGCGGTATTATACTGTGTGATATACTGTATAGGCCGCGGTATTATACTGTGTGATATACTGTATAGGCCGCGGTATTATACTGTGTGATATACTGTATAGGCCGCTGTATTATACTGTGTGATATACTGTATAGGCCGCGGTATTATACTGTGTGATATACTGTATAGGCCGCGATATTATACTGTGTAATATACTGTATAGGCCGCTGTATTATACTGTGAGATATACTGTATAGGCCGCTGTATTATACTGTGTGAACCAGCCCGGCCCTCGACTTGGAGCATTTTTATTAATTTTGGCCCACTGTGTATTTGAGTTTGACACCTCTGTTTTAGAGTGTGAACTGTATGTTTAGATGATAATTATTGTTGGCTACAATAACTCGTACATCTTTCGTGCAAAATTCGGTCAAAAATCTATTTTCCATTTTATGGACTGAAATTTGACTGGAGTTGGGTTTTTAATGTGTAAGACTTAAAATCTACCTGTCAGAATAACCCAACTAAAATTGGCCCCAGGACTACAAACTTTTTGTTCTTGAGTGCGACACATCACAAGGTAATATGTAAAAAAATGCCTAGCAATATTAATTGTTGCCCCCGTCCTGGCCAAACACATCCTGGTTTTATACGTACCAACATCATAGTAAATGATGGGGGTGATGTAACCCCTTTGATATGTTCTAGAATTGGAACATACACATTGGTCACATTTAAAAGGTGGCCATACACTGTACAACCATCGCAAGACCTTAGTCTTGCGATGGTTGTAAAGTGATTAAAAAAATGTACGATATGCCCATCTTGGACAGGCAGATCGCACTCTGAGGGGCGGGCTTCCGATTACAGCAATGCTGAACGGGCAGTGTGCGCGTGCGCACACCGGCCCGTTCGGCATTTGTCTCCCGAGCACCGTTCTAACCAGCCGAAAATCGTACGATTCTCGGCTGGTTTTCTAGCATGCTCCTTAGACAAAAGACGTGCGACCGTACAGTAGAAACGGTCGCACGTCTTCGTTCACACTGCACGATTCTCGTACGATCGCGGGATTTCCCGCGATTCTCGTACGAGAATCGAGCAGTGTATGGGCACCTTAAGTCCGAATGTTAATTGCCATGAGAATGATAATTAACCTTGCAGCAGAAAACAAGGAATGTGCAACTGCGTATGTTCCTAGTTCGAAGACAGGCTGTAAGTCAGTGGACGCATACCAATACCGCTAAGCTAGGTTTTGGCATATAAATGTCAGAAATCTCTGGTCACAAAAAGGGTTAAAGTGACTGTCAAGAAAAACAGTATGGAGGGTGCAGCTGCTGAAATCCTTTTAAAGTTGCTAGTTGCCTGGCTGAGAGCTTTAACGGAAATCTCCATGTTTGTTAAAAATAAACATAATAATTACTACACAAGTAATTTAGTAATTTAAAGGAGAAGTATTGGGAGAGCAAAATGTACCCTTTCCAATACTTAGAGCCGGTGTGGCTCACTGGCTGTCACACGCCGGTTCTATAGCTCAAGAACTGAGCAATTACAAAACGCTGATCACTCATTCCTCCCTTCTCTATCTGTTCCTCCACCTCTAATTGGAGGGACAGACAGGGGGGACGGGACAACACAGCTGGCTATAGAGAGGCAGAGCTAGCTGTCAATCAGGCAGTGGGGTGGACACCAACAATCTTGTTGGGATCTTTCCCGGCTGCAGCGCAACTCTACGCTGTCAGGAAATAGAGGGCAGTAGCCTGCTATATGCCGACTTTGGGTCCACAGAAGGACATTAGTAAATGTCCTCTGATGAATCATAAGAGAACTAAAGCAAAAAAAAGGTTTGGCTTTAGTTCTCTTTTATTGAGATTAGTAATGATCTTTCAATTTCAATCTACAGCCACCTCAATTTTTTTAACTTTCCATAAACTCAATACAATATGGCAAGCTGCAGGCATTCCGTACACCATTGGTAAAAGCCCCCAGAAATGTAAATTGCTACTTGGTTGATTATCTTACTGGTTTTCTCAAAATCCGCACTGAGATACATGACAAATTTTAGGCATCCCCTACAATTGGAGTTTCATTTCTGGTAAGATACTCCTTAGGTTTGCTTACTAGCATGCTGTAAATGAGTGACAGAATTTCTTATGTCTATACCTGTTCCAGGTCAGTGAGTCAAAGCACTAAAGCATCAGCAAGGCAGCCAAGGAACTAACATTTTTAAAGAATAGCTTAGCAATCGCCATCCCCTTTACTGCTGGGATACCACAGGGCACTTTGGAGTTCCTCCAATGAGGTCTAGTTTCAGTATTAGGACAAAAGGTTTTAAAGAGGAGCTTTACCCTCATCTTTAAAATGACAAAAGGCATCTTAAGAAACGTTTAGCAATGGTAATCTACAAACAGATACTTATAATTGCTAGGCATGTCCTGAAACTATTTTTTTTTAAGACCCAGTACTTTCCCCTCTGGTACTTGCAGATACTTTTTCTTAAAGGGACATGCAACATTCTTTCTAAAACAATACAGACTAATGATTTTAGGGCAGTTTCTTTGAAATTATGAAAAACTAACTTGATCCATGAATATTCAGCAATGGAGAATAGCAACCAGCACTAGAGGACTACAGATCCCATAAATCCATCATTATTACAGCAATGGAGAATGCCAACTGGCTAAAGAGGACTACAAATCTCAGCAACCCATGATTATTCAGCAATGGTAACTAGCAATAGAGGTCTACAGATCCCATGACTCCATGATTATACAGGGCTGTGTGCAGTCTCACCAGGGCTGCATGTGGGTCCCGGTCTCTGCGGCAGGTGCTGGGTTCTCCAGGGCTGTCCTTTGCTGTGGTGGTCTTGAAAAAGAGCAGGGAGGTGATGTGCGGCCAGACCGGCACTATCAAAGACAGCTGCCTGAGGTCCTGAGCAAGCACGGGACCTCAGGCAGCTGCTCGTTTAAAAATGTAAAGGGGCCAGTATCGATCTTTAGTATCTGGACATTTTCACAAGTGCAAGTACTTGTGAGAAAGCCCTGTATCAGTATCAGGACAACCCTGAAAATTGCAGGTTTTTAATAATAATATTTTTTCTTTTCTTCCCCATTCTTCTCTGGTGGCCATTTTCACTAATGGCAGATTCATCCATCTCCCTTTATTTCCTGGAACTCTGGCACATCTGAAATTGCACATCATCTCAGGGGAAAAAAAAACACCTGCCCCCAGAGATCTCACAAGATTTTGGAGTTAACAGATGAGATTTCCCAGCAATCCACTCTCATGTAACCTTCCCAAGATGCATCTTTTAGGCCCAGATTTCATCAATAATGCCCAAGAGTACCAGGAAGTAAAACATCAAATAAAAGTAAAAGCAAAATATGTTTAACTAATGAATGTAAGAAGATTTCATATCAGCCTGCATAGCTGCATGTTGAAATGATTTTTAAAGAAAGGGGGTAAAATGTCCACAGAGGTTTTTATTTGGCCACTAAACATACAATGTGTAAATCAATTTTTTTTTACAAGGTAGCAAATCAGCATTTATCATGTTTCATAACTTTACTTCTCGCCATTAGTAATAATGAAACTTGGGTATCTACATTTAAAAATTTGAGATTTAAAATGTTGACCTATTCTAATTTGAAATCTATCTGAATTGTGTGTCATCAATAAGCTTCGGCCCGCAGTTTTTCATACAAGCGTAGTTGAAATTATGGCACCAGTGACAGAAAGTCCTTTTTATCGGGGATCGCGGGCAAGGTAAGACCTATGCTGTATTCCCGAGTGTGGCTCGGGGTTACCGCTTTGGTACAGAAAATTAACCCCGAGCCACACACGAGAATACCAATGGATACGCGCTGAAATCTGCCCCTATACGAGAAAAAGAAGCTCAAGTACTTTTTTGCGCGTAGGGCGTTTTTCAGGGCGACAAATCGTGCTGAAATACGCCCAGGTGGGAACCATGCCCATTGGGATTAATAAGGCTTCGATCAGTGCTGAAAAACGCCCAGGTGAAAACCCAGCCTTAGCACATACCCAAGAACCACCCGAACCAAAATGAAATGCTTCATATTTAATAAAATGTATTACTTACATTTGATACATTCAATGAACATTGAAACCACTTAAGGTCCAAAAAAATACAGCCGTTAACGGTTTCGAGTATTGCACCAAAGAAATTCTTAGAAAAAATCCTGAAGGAATGACCTACTTGTGATAAAAACATTTCAGAAACAGTGTTCCTCACACTCTTTGGATGCCCTGAAAATCTTTTTTTCCAATGAGTTCTTTTACAACAATACAAAAACTTTATTACATGAGGTCAGCTACCGTCAAAACAGAAGAACACAAATCCGCTGTTATTTCAAGTCTAGATATCCCACTTACAGGAATTATTGCTCCCGAAATGTGCACATCACTGCAAACACTGCTTTTAGCCAGAGAGTTCACCTCAAGTCTTCCTATAGGGCTATTAATTCCCCATGGCAGTGATTGCAACAATTGAAAGTGATGTTCTCGTATCGGGTGTATGGGTGAAAACGTCCAATGCTTTTCTTTGCTGCCAGGAATGATGGTGATGAGGACTCCGAGAAGGAAATATCAACAGATGCCTCTGTACATAACATAGGGTCCAGAGACTTCAGGATCTGAAACATAACAAAAAAACAGTTCATTTTAATGTTTATCTGATACTGGGCGGCTGCGGGGTAGGTTCGGAATTTATATAAACTTTTAGTAAAGTCATAATTTTAAAAAGGTGCAGACAACATTTTGCTACATAGGATGCTAAGCTCATGCCTTTTGTTTAAAACCTCTCAGGAAAATAGAAAAAACTCCCCTTGCAGTGGGTCTAGCTCAATAAGAGACCTTTCCGTAAATGCACAAATCGGGGATGGATGATAACCCCCAGCAGCACTATTAAATTAGTGATACAATATTTGTTATGAAATAAATCTAAAGAATATAGCACAACCATAATCTGCATAGAGAGCCATACACTAAAACCTAGTGACTGGGTCAAGGAGGCCAACACTAGTTCACCGGAAAAGAATGGAAAACCACCCATGGGACAACTAGGAATTGAAAGTTCAACACAGCTGGACTTTGTGGAAGAGTTAGAAGATGAAAGCCATTGCTGGGAAAACATTTTTTTAATCTCGTTTGGAATCTGTCATAAGACATATGGAAGACAAACACGTGGAAAACAGGCTCTCTGACCAAAACTGGACCTTTGAGCACAAAACTCTTGTATGGGACAATTGTAACACTGTTTTTTGCTTTACGGTGGAGAAACTGTTTAGGACTAAGTGTAAGGTATAGGAGCCAAATATAGAACAAGTGAAACCTCTTTCAGCCTGCAAGAGACCTGAGCTGGAAAATGGCACTAAGAACATATCCGAAACTGATATGAGAAAAAAAAAACTTCCTGTGCATCATAGATAAGCATGCTCATAGAGACTAACATTGCACTACAGTGCCATCTACACTTCAAAAGACAAATTACAGTCAGTATATGCTGTTGTAGTTTCAACAAATATTCCCTTTTAGATTGTAAGCCCTCAGGGGCAGGGCCCTGCTTACCATCTTGTCTTGAATTGTATTGTGATTGTAATGTCTTCCTTATATTGTAAAGCGATGCGCATGTTGGCGCTATATAAACCCTGTATAATAATAATAATTTAACTCTGAATCAGTGGTAAGACCAACAGTCTCCATTAACCTTGACAGCAACTTTGCAAAGAATGGACAAACCTTGCAGGATCTGGAAAAGCTGGTAAAGACTTACCAAAAACACTTGCTGCTTTGACTACCAGGTATTAACTTGTGAAGGCACATGTGTCAGACAGACTGTACAGTCTGTTTAATTAACTTCCGTGTCACTTAAATATTTTGCACCTTTACAGTTTAAGTATGTTGTGTAAATCATATGGTACACATTTCAGTTAAATTAATTTTAAATCCAGGCTAAGAAAAGGTAAAGCAGTGTGAATAGTTGTGTAAAGGACTGCATGCATCAAGTAAACTGAACATAAGGTTATATACAAGAAGAAAACAACTACATCAAGAGAAATGACCATCTATTAGTCTAAAATAGATGCACACACAGCTACTGGACCATATTATAAATAGATGGTTACTTGCTATTTACCATTTCTGCCATTTTTTCTGCGGGAGTGTTGCAAAACTCCACTGCCTGCGAGGTTTGTTTGGCGCTCTCCGATCCAGTATTCCCAATAAGGTGAGACTTCACTGCCACTGCCAGCTTCTGGTTTGCTGCAACTAGTTCTGTGGTAGTGTAGGGCTGGGCAATGGGGTAATAGGTCTGTTGTCTTCCCCACTGCAGGGAAATGAGAAGTTCTTCTAATACTCTAAAAGAGAAAAAAAAATGCCAGGATTGTGATAATTAAATGTACACATTCATTTGCTTTGTTCTACCACAAATGTGCACATTATACTATTGTTTCTTTGCATTACTCTGTATAATAAATACAATTGAAAAAAAAAAATACATACTTTTTTGTTTCAGACATTTCTTGTCGAAATTGCTCTCTTTCACTTAACAAGTCCCGCAGGGCGCTCCGAGCCTCTCTGTTCTGCCGTTGCAGATTTGCCCTTATGTTTGTTAATTCATCTGCCATGACTCTAAAACAGAAAAACAAATCAAGTAGTAAGTAGAGATTATAGAACTATCAAACAAAACAAGATATGTATTAACCAAACCAATTATCCTATTCTTTTGATTAGCTAAATGCCTAATTTTTTTCTAGAGGAAACCCTCTTGCACATTAATAAATTGGATTTACTGCTTAGTAGATTTGGTTTATATGCTGCTATGGCTGAAACACCAGCTATTCTTTATAGTCATTTATTTTTATAACAAAAACCACAAAAAAAAACCACACAACAATGCTTATGTATTCCTAAAAAGGAGAATTATGGTGTGAGTGAAAAACACTCATTCCCCTAATTCAAGCTGACTTGTGACACTGGAGCTGTCACAGGTTGGCTCTATTGATCGAGAAGTCAGCGAACACACACCACTGATCATTGATTTCCCGATCCTTTCCCTGCAGAGAGCGGTGACGGTCAGTCACCGCTCCCCACAGGGATTCCTCCGTCCCCTCTTAGATCCTCCAGCGCTGAATGGAGGAACGGATGGGGGGAGTGGTAGGGCAGAGCCGGATGTCAATCAGCCAGGGGGGTGGATCTCAACAGTATTGTCGGGATCCGTCCGGGCTGTGGCGTGGCTCTGTGCGCTCAGCATATAGCGGGCAATAGCCCGCTTATATTCTGGGTTTTGGGTCGCCGGAGGACATTATTATATGTCCTCCTGTGACCCTAAAGAGAACTATGGGCAAAAAAAGTTTACCCCATAGTTTTCCTTTAACACACAGAGGAAATGCCAATTTTAGAAAGTGATCTAAAATGTGATCTAATCTTTTGATATATATTAAAATTAAAGGAGAAATGTAATGTTGGAATTTCACTTTCAAGATCTAAAAATCTCTAAGATCAAAAACGAATCCACCATTTCAATATTTATGTGTAGACAACTCAAGTGAAATCAATCAGTTTCCAGCAGGAAAATAGAAGAAAACACCTATTTCATGCAAAGCTTGCTAGCTACACTGCCGGGGATTGCGAGTGAATGCACCACATTTAAGACATATCAATTATCTAAAGATATGTTTAATATCTGGACTAAAAAGTTAGATTAAAAAAATTAAGCAAATTATTTCAGCCGTAAAAATTATATATATAGCACTGATATCTTCTTGGGAATTGAAACTGGTAAACCTAGAAGTCAATTGTTTTTTATCTGCCCAGTTTACACCACAATGCGGGTGTGATCTGCAGTGCAGTGCTGTATGAGAATGTGCAGACATGCTGGACTGCACCGCAGGTTACTGCTCTGCTGTGTGGGGACCTGAATGGAGTGCACAGCTTGTACACTCCAAATAAAGTTTAAAAAAACCAAGTAAATAGTGTGATCTGCTGAGCCAGTACATCGCACTGCCACCCCACCAGACCTGTTGAACACACTAGCCTGTCCGCTAAAACTGTGCATTTAAGCAAACAGGCTAGCGTGAACAAGACTGGAGAGTCATTCTGCTCAGAGACTGTCTATCAGTTAGATATGAAAAAAGTAACCCTCCAAGCTTCTGCATCATTTAATGCTGCTCTGCTGTGGCCACAGAAAGACACTGAAAAAGAAGAATTCTTCCCATACTGGTGAAGATAGAAACCTCTTATATAGTAAAGATAGAAAGATGCACCAATTCCTCTCAAAACACTTAAAGAACTCCGGGTAAAATGTTTCCTAACCCTTGCAGTGGTGCTGTTTTTGTCTAGGTTTAAAAATATTATTCACCTGAGCCTCTCTCCCCCTCCGCTGCAGCAGTCTAAGGTCCCCGAGTTATCATGTTCTATACACAGTGTACAGGATGTGAGGACACCGAGGGATATACCATTACTGCAGTCAAGGAGACAGACAGGAGGGTGCAGTGTCACAACTGGCCAGCTCGGAGAATGGGGCAAGTATAACGTATTTTTGAACCTAGACAAAAATTAAGCACTTAACCCTTGCAGTGTGGGGGGATCCCCACTGTGAGGGTTCAGGACATTTTTACCTGGAGATGTTCTTTAAAATGAATGAAACATACCGACTAGCAAGGAATTTGCTTCTCCAGACATCACACTGAATTGACATGCGCTCCAGTTGTTCCGACAGCTGAGCTGTATTTCGTGCTAGAGCCTCATTTTCCAGAATAAGTTGGTTCTTCTCTCGAGCTGTGCGCTCAAAGTGATACTGTAAGTCATCACCAACAGATGCCACCAGTAACTTTTTTAATTCCCGATTAACCTTAAAGAACAGAAAAGGGTTGTTAACAAGACAAACACAGTAGCAAACTGTGCATCAGTTAGTGTGAGTCATGTCCAAGCAACAAACACCAGAGACTAATGGAACAGATAATGGCATAAAACAAATATGGGGTTTGCCATTCAAAATGATGGTTGCTAGGCTGTAATCCTGACCCAATGGCTTCAATACTTTGAGGGGCTAAGCTGGAACAAGCAGCTATATTGGAAAAGTCAGGACAATGTGAGAAACCCTTATCCGTTTCCTTGTTCTGTGCCAGAGGCTCAAACCAACATTACACCACAAATACCCAGCTCTGATGTCCTTTACAATTTAAGTATTATTAAAGTGACATTAAACCCTCAGATTTTTTAACATAAACCAATACTGTAATGCGTGCCTTACTGTAATCCATGGTAGTTTCCCTTCTCTTTGCTGCTCTTCCTTTTAAATCTGTATCTGTTCTCATGCTGGGCAGAACTTCTGTTTTGCAGCAGACTGCCTTCTCTCAACCATTCCCCAAACTTCCTGGTTGCGGTGGGGAAGATACTGATGGCAGATACCATAGGCTCCTTCTGCCATCATTTAAAGAGCAGGGGCGTGGCCTGCCACAGGGCTGCGTGTGTCTATGGGCTCACACAGCCACTGTGGGCACGAGTGCCTCCATTAGAACGATTGTGGCACCCGTACAGGGGCCGGGGGGGGACACACTAGAAAACAAGGAATTTTAAACTTTTAAAGAAAAACGGCAACAGCCTCAAGCAAAGGCAGGACTCCTTGTAGGAAACATTAGAAAAAAAAAAGTAGGCTTTAATATCACTTTAAGGTGCAAAGTAGTGATGTTTCTTTATATAATTACCTACTAACACTGCCCAGCCAACACTACAGCTGATTATAGCAGACAGTTTACTCGATTCATATGATTAAGCCCATCATTGGGTAAAATTGGGTAAGGAGGATCCATGGCGGGACGATGCATGCCTGTGTTCTACAATAAATTATTCAATGAAGCTTGCGGTGTGCAGCCGTTTTTTTGTTTCTGTGACTATTGATGCTGGAGCAAGACTGACTTGGCTGGTGTGCACCTGCCATTCTCTCTAGTGATGCTGTGAAGGAGCAAAGATACTGGGCTATGGAAGTTACTTAGGAAATTATATGTTGCATAACAAACAGATTGACAAATGGTGTTACCAGATTACTGACAATGTGGATCAGGGCAGATTGCAGAACTACATCACTGCCTGGATGAAAACGTACTGAGCATGCATGTCTATCAAGATCTAGTTTTGAATTTGTTCTAGAGTGCATTATATAAAGTGGAAAACTCCTTGGAGCCCACTGTCTCTAAAACCACAAAACTAAGGAGCTGGCTAAAGTAGCCTTCATAGAGCTAAACTGGCCAATTATGATCTTTATCCGTTATCCTTGTATGTATGTGACCCGTTCTTCCCTGGCATTAATAGCGAGCACATAATATACTGACCAACTTTAATCCCCCACTTAAATGACATGATCCCAAAGTATCATTGACATCCTGAAGAATTATTCCTAAAAGGGAAGCGGTAATGTCATGCGAAGCCTAGAAGAGCTCACGGATCTGTAAACACATTAATAGTCTGGCACCAGAGAGCACACAATAAAAAGGAGTAAATATACAAACAGCTTGTATGGTATGAATAAAACCAAAACATACATGGGAGTGATTACCAAACCTCACTGAGAAGGTCATGTTGTAAATGTGGCCACGTGCATACACAAGGCAAGTCAGTGCTCTTTCAAAGAAATGCCTGTTATTGAGATCTTAATCCTGACAGAACATATAAACCTCTGAAGGCAGGGACGAGCAAGTGACAAGCCCTTTCCACTTGTATGTATGCTGAATCGCTTGACGTCAGATGAACTCAGCACAACAAACAATAACTGTTGCTAGAAAACAAATATGTGCTTGAGTCCTGTCTAGTCACTTTTATAACCCAAAAGATCTGACAAAGCTTGTGTGGCAGGCAATATAAAATTCCTGTTTGTACTGTCACTGTGCCTCCTTGCCATTCGTTCCAATACCAGCATGCTGAAAGTAACTGGCTGCTCACATGCAAAGGACTGTACTGTGGGAAGCAGTGTGACAGTTGCCTCATACCTGGAAGTAAAAACCTTGGATCTGGTAGCAGCCTGGGCGGCAGGGATGTGTGAGAAAGCTACATTGCCTATTTTTTTCTTTAGGTCACACCAACACAAACAGCAAATAAAGATTTTAAATGGGGATTGTCTCATGTCAGAATAAGGTCCATGTTTCTTGTGTTCGTGCTATACTTTACTATTCAAGATAGGCTCATTTAGTTCCCGAAGGGGATGATAACTGAACATTACCAAGTACAACAATGACAACATCCTAAAACAGTTTCTTCTAATGATTGGCATAGAATAGCCTAAAGCTAGGTACTAAAAAGTGCCATCATGCAACTTGAATGTGAAGTCAGCTCCAGCAACCCCCATGCCAGACACATAAGAATTCAGACCCTGTGATGGAGCCCAAGTCCTTCACTTTGACACTATGGGGGTGATTTACTAACCTAAACACACACGCACCAGGTGCGTGAATCTCAGCATGTGCCTCTTAGCATGACCTATAAAGAATTGTGCACACTGATGACGTAAGTTGAGCTGTATTTTTTGCACACATGTATAGTGCGAACAGGGCGCGAAGAAAAAAAAACTACAACGGTACCTCCGTTCATGAACTTAATTCGTTCCACGATTCTGGTCGCGAACCGAACCAAACTGTGATCAGACCGGGATCTCGACTAGAGGAAGCCACGACCATGTGTCAGAGCAGGGAAGACGGCTGCGGTTGTGTTCGTCACCCGATGCGGAATTCGCGAACAGAAGCAACATTTTACTGAACTTCCTGTTCGTGAACCGAATTGTTCGCGAACAGCAGCGTTCGTGAACTGAGGTACCACTGTATTTTTGTGTCCCGTTTACACTATACATGTGCAATGTTCAGCAGAAAAACGCAGCTCAACAGACACGGTGTGAACAAGCCCTTAGGCTATGCCAGCTAATAGTATTGGCCTGAAAAGAGGTTCAGAGGTCACAGGGCATGCAAGAACTGCTTTTGACAAGTTACCATGTGCGTTAAGGTGCCACAAAAAGGCAATTCGGTCACTTTAATTAGTCTGCCTCATAGTACACTTAAATCTTGAAGTGTCTTTCTGCTTCATTTTGGATATCTGTTTATCCTTTTAAGCATAGTGCACATTTCATTACAATGGGCAAGATAACACACTATTTTGTGCTGTTTGACATAGGAATCCCTATTCTCTAAACTGCTGCACACCTTGAGAACACCTTGAGCGCAAAGTTATACTTTAATGCAGCAATTAAATGCAAAATGGCCTTTTTATATGTCTGTAGGACTCTGAAGCACATAGCAGTATAAATATGCAGCTGTCGATGGCACTGCTATTTAATTGTTTGCAGACACACATTTAGAGCTAGTTTGGGTCTGTAAAGAAGACACAGCGTTCCCTTTATAAGTTCTTACCTCTGTCTGCACCCTTAGCTGGTTAGAAAGACCCTCTTTGTCTTGAAGTAAACGTCTCTCTGCGTTTTTTAGTTTTTCCAAAGCGCTCTTCATTTCAGCTAGTTGTTTCCATGGGTCAATCACACAGTCAGCAGTGTCTACTTTACTGTGCCCATCCTGTGCTTTAGCCTGTTTAGTCAGCACTGTGTGTGTTATTGCAGCTTTGGGGACCACAATCCTGAATGCTTCGATCTCCACTGATTGGTCAATGTGCATCCTCCCCAGCTGTAGGACACCGGGACATAATGTCGGTGACGGGGACGTTTTTCTCTTTGGGCTGTGAGCTACTTTGCTGTGTTGTGTGATTGGTTCTACTGCTTTTAAAGGCACCAGAGTTTCCATACCATCACCTGTACCACGTATAGGTGGTGAAGTCGCCATTGCTAAGAGAAAGAAACAAAATGGGTTTTAGACATGCCAATAAAGAATGAAAAATTGGAAGGAAATAGGAGCCACAATATAGAAAGTGTCCATTTACATACAATTGCAGAATGTGCCCTAGCAATTAAAAACCGCATTTTTGCCAATCCAGCTCTTTCTGACTGATCCTCAGGCCAAATGAAAAAAATAAAGTCTAACTATTAGTTTAAGAAAGAGAGGAAACTGTTAAGCCATAACACTAGCCTGCCTAGTTATAAAAAAATATATACTAAAGTTGACTTTATTCTGTATAAACCTTTCTGGTTGGTGAATGTACCATTCATCAAAAACTCACTGCATGTGAATCAATCACTAATTTAAAACATACCGTATATACTCGAGTATAAGCCGAGGGGGGGTAGAGAGAGAGATTAATTAAGCAATTATATATGTATTGTCTGCACTGTATTAGCAGTATATACTCTATATGGAGTATATACTGCTAATACAGTGCAGACAATACATTTACAATGATCCTCTGCTAACATGAATGGGTTAAATGATCCGTAGTACATGATATGTAGCCCTGTACTATGGATCATTTAACCCATTCATGTTAGCAGAGGATCATTGTAAATGTATTGTCTGCACTGTATTAGCAGTATATACTCTATATGGAGTATATACTGCTAATACAGTGCAGACAATACATTTACAATTATACTAACCTGAATGGATTAAATGATCTGTATGTAGCCCTGTACCCCCTTTTCCACTTACAGAGCTAGGTTATTTTTCTTTTAAATAAATATTAATGTATTTTAATGGTATCTATCTACCAGTAGCTGCCTCATTTCCCACCCTCGGCTTATATTCGGGACGGCTTATACTCGAGTATATACGGTATGTACCAGGAACATAAACCTGCAGTAAATGTAAATCACGGAGAACAGCCTATAATTAAACAAGAACTCTGGGGAGTTACAAAATTAACCCTTGCAGTGGGGCTAGGGTGTAAAATATAAAAAAGATATACTCACTCGATCCTCGGCCCTGCCTGGCTGCTAGACTGCATCCCCCCTCACTCCTCCTCCGCTCCGTGACTTCATCATGTCTAATAGAGTGTATTAGATGTGGGGACGCCAAGAGACATTCAAGTGGCGCACTGGAGGGGGGGACTAACCGGTCTCTGTCGCAAGATTGAGGCTCTGGTAAGTATATGTTCTTTTAGACACTAGAGAAAAAAACAGTGGGTAGCCCGATACCCACTGCAATGGTTATTTTGTAACTGCCCAGAGTTCTTCTTTAATCTGTAGTCAGAGCACAGTGCATCAGGGGGAGGAGCTCAGCGGGATGTAAGGGGCTATTTGTAAAATGTAGTAACCCAGCAGTGGATATCATGTGGTATGACCATCTGTTTGTGACAAAGCTTTGAAATAACTGAATCAGGTCAGCCAAGCAGCTAGCATTTCCCACAAGAGGTCGGGCTACACCTTTCCCTTAGCATATGTTTCCTTTAGAGGAAACCTGTACTGACTAACACAGAGGATGCCAGTGCTAACTTCCCCCTGAAAATACCAGTTGCCTGGCTTTCTCTGGCTTCAGTAGTTTAGAGACACTGGCTTAAAACAAGTCTGCAACAAGTCAGAGCTGCTAATCTGCATACTTGTTCGAGGTCAGTGACTTAAAGTACTAAAGTAAAAAGGGGTCAGCATGACAGCCAGAGAACTAGTATTTACAGCAGGAGAGGCCAGTAAAAGAAGCCCCATAGTTCCTCACTATAGGTATCCTTTAAAGCTGTATTCCGGAAGAAGAAAACACTCCCTTTGTACTGGGGCTACCTCTACACTACAAGGGTTAAACACTTGTTTAGGTCTAGGGTATCTGGGTAAAGGACGTTTACGTACACGCCCCAACAGGCTTCCTCCAGATTACAAGATCATCAACTGCAGGCTCTCCCTACCCCCCACACTGTGATGGCTGGAGGTCCCCTATTGTCATCAAGTACAATGCAGGGCCCAGAGCCCTGCATTATATGTGAGGATGCTGAGGGCCAGACAAAGCATATGGGGAGCAGGAGGTGAGTGGCATCTGCCAGGGAAGCGGGGGATCAGGTGAGTAAAAGTCCGTTTCACAATACCTCTACACCAGGGGTCTCAAACTCATTTGAGTCGAGGGCCACTCGACAATTTTTTTCCTCCCATGGGGGCCGGCTTGCCAAATTCCGTACATCAAAATAAAATGTCATTATATACGGTATGGTACAACGGACCCCAAAACACACACTGATCAGGTGACATCAGTTTCATGTAAACGCCTGCACACCGCATGTAATGATATGTTATATAACATGCGGCTAGAAAACGCTCTCCCTGGATGCACAATCATTGTGTCCAGGGAGAGTGACAAATTCCTAACCGAATGTAATCTTATCACATACAATTACATGCGGTGGGCAGGCATTTACATGCAGCTGCTGTCATCTGATCATTAACTTGAATAGGTGACAGCGGCCGCTTTTAAACGCCAGATTATGGATTCCTGCTGCAGGAAAACGCAAGTTCCTGACGCAGGAATCCCCAATTGCACATAAAGATACAGGTGTGAATGTAGACTAATACACTCCCCCCATACACATAAAAAAAACTACCCCTGAACATGTAAAATAATACACAACGATCTGCCTATGCAAGATAGGCAGATAGTACGTTCTTTTAAGTACCTTACAACCATCGCAAGACAAAAGTCTTGCGATGGTTGTAAGGTGTGTGCCCAGCCTAATACATTCTTTCTTTCGGCCGGAGCTCAGAATTGAGCTCCGGCCGAAAGGATCTCAGTGCCGGGAGGAGCAGCTCTGCCGTCTGCACCCGATTAAGATGCAGACCGTGTAGCTGCTCCTGCAAGTCAGGTATGCGGTCTGTGACCGCGTACCTGACTTGTCAACCGGCTGCGGGCCACATAGTACCGCCTCGCGGGCCGGTACTTTGAGACCGCTGCTCTACACAAATGAGCATTTAACCCTTGCAGTGTGGGTGTAGTCCTACTACAAGGGGAGTTTGGTCTTCTTCCACAGAGAAGAAGGGAGTGCATATTAGCATAACATAAACACTCCTATAAGCAGTTATCTCTATATAGGTTCGTTTGCATGTTACAAATAGAGTATTGCTATGTTAAATCAGACCCTACACATCCTAGGAGGTACAAGGTAGGATTTAATTATACAGTAAACAGTTTTAACTAAAACTTCAAAAACATAAGAAACTAACCCAATCACGTCATCTAGAAATACGGACTATGTACTCTAAAACTAAGGTTTATAGTGATGATGCAGAAGCCAGCCTTCTCACTTCTTATAAAATATAGGGAACTGGTTATTCTTCAATGCAAACATTGCTTGTTTACTTTGCGGACATCATGCCTGTAATTCGGAGGTAAGAGATAGGCTTTTAAGAACACACCCAAACAACCAAATAAGACTAAACTGAGTGCTCTTGGAAACTGACAACAGAGAAGGACTTTAGTAATCTGATGACTGAAATGAGTAGGATGCAATTACATTTAATAAATATTTTTGAGTCACGATTTCTGAGTCACGGTGAACATTTTAGCGCAATATATTAAAATAAAAAACTATTCATGAGCAGTAGCACACAATGATACTCACTGGCCATGGTGTTGCTAAATGATATAATCTCTGATGAACACGTTCCAGTAAACTTCAGATTGTGCCTGCAATACATAATATTTAATGTAGAAACAATGTTGATTTAGGAAGTACTCTACTAGTTTATTGAAATGAACGGAGAAGGTTAGAACCTCAGTCCAGAGAAATCTAGAAGTTAAAGTAGTATTAAGGTCTGGGCGTTTTTACCCTAATGCATTCTCTGCATTAGGGTAAAAACGGCCCAGCACCTTTTTTCTTGTCAGCTGCGCTTGTACCCGCCGACGGTCCGAAGAGATCCTCCGTTCCCGAACTTCCGGGTTGCGGAGGCAGGATACTGATGGAAGAGGAGCCACGGGCTCCTTCTGCCATCAATCAAAAAGGGAAGGGGCGTGGCCTGCCCCAAGGCCGTGGGCGGTCTTTGAAGCACCCCCCAAAAAAACCCAGCCACTGTGGAAACGAGCGCGCACGGTGCCTCCATTAGAACGATGGTGGCACCTGTGCAGGGGACGGGGGAACTGCGGGGAGCCACTAGAAAATGGGGAATTAGGAACTTTTAACGACAAACCCTAATGCCCGAACCCAGTTTTACAGCTCTGACGTGATAGGAAAACTATACATATTTTTGCAAATTCTTAGTGTATTCAGGTGAATTATATATGGTTTTGTTCAGGACAAATTGGGACTTTGGTGTAAATGGTTATGGAAATATCCAGATTTAGGTTTGTTTTTTTAAATCATAGGAAACCTGGCCCAAAATATTTCATTCATTCATATTCTTGGTATTACCATGACCCACAAAAAAACAACAAACAAAGCAATTTTCCTGATGTGGATGAAGACACATACTGCTCTGACCTTTTTAATTAATAATTACTATGGGCAACTGCTCCAGATTCTGTCTGCTCCAGTTTTCATAAATTACCCCTTGTAGTCCATCACAGGAGCGAGCTTGGAGCAGTGACTACTTTACAACACACACAGGGACCATGGGGAACAAAAGTAGCCACCCTCCAGAAGGAAGGACAGTGTCAGCACCAATTCAGAGATGATTTGAGGGTCTACAGCCTAATGATAGTTGGGGCACTTAAATGCATTTTTAAGATTTAGCTCCAGAGTTTAGTGTCACTTTAAATTATTCTCAGCTAAAACAGGTTTTAAAAACATTAAAGTGTATTTTCAGCCAAAACCTTTTTTTTCTAGTTTTGGATAGAGTCTGGAAGAATTAGAACCCCTGTTAAAGATGAACTTTAACCTTATCTTCAAAATAACAACAAAGGCACCTTTACAAATGTTTAGTAATGGCAATTGTAGGGTATAGCTCAAATGGGGATCACCTTCACTGGGGGAAAAAAAGGAAGTCCAGGCAGCAAAATCCTTCTTTTATATCGGACTAGAAGTCAGTTTTTATTTAAAAGGTTGCAATAAAACAGAAAACAAATCCTTGCCTTTCAGGCTCTGACTAAACAGGAAGGTTTTCTCTCTACTACTAGGTGGTGACCTTATCTCAGCCACCTCACAAAACAAAAAGTATTTTCAGTAAACTTTTACTCTCACACATCCAACTTGTAGCTCTCTCAGAATGCTGTCTGAGTCCCAGGCCAGAGCAACATCATGCTTCAGCCTTCCCCTTTTATCTCCCCTGGATAATCACTCATTAGGCAATTACCAATCCAGGTGAGAGGCACAAAACCCGAGCTGGATTATTCAGACCCAAAGTCAGCCCATAAACCTGGTCTGGGTTCCGCTAATCCTGTACATAGGATAGAAAGCGAGGGAAAATATATCGCCCCTCGATGACTTTCCCTATGTCACACAATCTACAAAACACATACTTCCAGATAATTGCCAGCTTTTCCTACCTTGTTTTTTTCCCCCCCTCCCCATTGTTCTCACAGTGGCCATTTTTACTAAGGGCAGATTACTAGATCACCCTTTACTTCCTGGAACTCTGGCACATGTGACTAGGACATGTGACCATGCACATCATCTCAGGGGAGGAAAATGTCTTTCCCTGAGATCTCATGAGATTACAGATGAGATTTCCCAGCAATGCTCTGCTGATGTAACCTTCCCAGGATGCAACGTTTGGGCACGATTACATAATTTGTGCCAAAGCAGACCAGGAAGTGGGGAATTTTTTTTTTTTTAGAAAAAGAAATAAAAAGTTTGTTTAGCTAATGGATATAAGATGATTTCTTGTCAGCATGCAGAGTTGAATACTGATGTGATTTTTAGTCAAAGGGTGAAAGGTCCTTTTTAAGTTTTTATTCTGGACTCCATTTTTCTCTCACGTCCCAGTGACTATGGTTTCACCAGACAGAAGCGAGGGAAAATCTGCAACACAGACAATGATAAAAAGATGACAGGGGTTCTAGCTTTTCCCTATTCTTTCTAAGTTGCTGCTGGAAAGTTTCCCTTAATTCTTGCCTGGCAAAATGGTTATTATTGGCACAATAAGTAAAGTAAGAGGAAGTCTCTAACAGTCCCGGTTTTAATAATTCCCCCACTGTATCCAAGAAACATACATGGACATATGCTTTAAGTCTACAAGCCAAGAGGTGATGAAGGGTTCTGTCAGATGAAACATGTAGGGTTGATATATTTTTGCAGCCTCCTTTGTTAGAATTTCCTTATTACGGCAGTGTAACCATCGGGGAATCAGCACGGTTATTACCAGACTATATTACTGGTGAAAAGTGATATTTGCTACTAAGCATACAACACAATTGATTATAAATCCATACCTGCAGGTCTAAGGTCTAGGCACTTACCTCCACACCACTAAAAAGTGCTGCTGCGAATAACTTTTCCACTGCACTCGATCAGTACTGGTGACTTTTTATACCCATGTTCAGAGATGCAGGGTGGGCTGGATGCCCTGGGTAGCCATTTCCAGAGGCAGATGGGTATATGCTATTCCATTGGTTGTTTGGTGATTAGGAATCCCCTTCTAAACCTCCAATCAGAGCCCAGCTCCTAAGAGGTCAACCTGAAAGTGAATGGAAATATTACAGAAGGTCAGAAAGTAACATTATTATATAGTATAAGTTCTCAATAGCAAATCTGTTCCCAATGACTAAAATAAGACACACAGGTTAAAGTGAACCTGTACAAGCAGAGCAACGTAATGAATTCAGATAAAAAGGAGTCTGTACTTGCCTTCCATGTGCTCCCCTGCTACCCCTTTTGCTTGCTGGAGCCTCAAGATGACTTGGTACATACCCACCACACATTGAGTAGGAGCTCACACAGGGTTACCCCCGCCAGCCAGTTGGGCACGGATATTTACCACTCAGACACCAAGTGCTGCATTGTGGGAGGTAGAGAAGAGTGTTACATGATCCTCCTTATCCAGACGTAGTAGTTTTTCCCCCAGGGTCCAGCAGGTAACCGAAATGGCAGGGGAGCATTGGGAAGGGAACTACAGCCTCTATTTGCCTTTTATCCAGCAAATCTGCTAATTTTGCTTAAATATAAAAATACACGTTTCCTTTAACCACTACACCTCCCCAAACCTTTTGTTTGCTTCCCTGCTATGGTATCCCACAGAAAATGCCCGCTCACTTAGGGTACAAAGAAGCATTTGACGCATTCCATGTGACAGCGCCGGGTCAATCAGTACTGTCACATCGGGAGAACATAGCCCTGTGTAAGCTACAACTTCAGCTGACATAGGACTTTTGTTTCTTTCCCGTGAAGAACAGAGTGGTGGAGGAGCAAAAGCAAGTGCAGCTTAGATTAAAGTCAACCTGCTGCTGTGCCCTGCATATAAAAAAATAAAAAATAAAAATATATTGCAGCTTACCAGTTTTTAGATGTTGTGGCTGCATTTGTTTTCTTTTTACAGGCTAAGAACATTTTCAGCAAGTACAGAAAATACTTGTTGATCTTGCCAGAAAGAGTGTCATTGTCGCTTCCTGTAAGCTGTAAGGAAAGCGCAACAATTCTTATCTTTCTTCTGTAAACTACTAGTCCCAGCAATCCAATAGTCATTTGTGTTGTGCAGGCTGTGTGTCAACCATGGCTGCCTCCATAGATACAGTGGAGGAGTGAGTAAAGGTGCCCATACACCTTACAATTATCTGCAGATTTTCTGTGGTCAGATGGAAAAAGTGCAACAGATTGGCCCAGGTGGAGATTACTCCCTCCACACAGTTTAGCGAAGATGGAGGAATCTGTTGCCCCTTTTCCATCTGACTATAGAAAATCTGCAGATAATTGTAAGGTGCATGGCCAGCTTAAGATCTCGTTCACACCTAGGCGTATTGCATATGCGCGTCTGTCGGGCAAACGTCGCGCAATTTTTTTACCGCGATTCGCAGTAAAAAAGTTGCGCGACAAACGCGCATTTCCGAAGGCTACTTGGCTGTATCCCAATGGAAACGTGCAACAAAACGGCCCAAAGTAGTACATGTACCTTTTCAGGCGTGGGCCGTTTTGTAGCGCGTTAGGGACGGGCGGAAATACGCCAAGGTGGGAACGAGACCATTGAATACAATGGGATTTATATTTTTGAGCGTTTTGTAGAGCGTTCGTCGAGCGTAGAACGCGCTACAAAACGTTCAGGTGTGAACGAGGGCTGAGAGTGAGCAAAGCCACCCTAGGATGGGAAGTGTGCTAATGGCGGGTTCACCAGGTGAAAAGAGAAAAAAAGCTGATCAGGAAAACTAATGCAGCCACTACATCCAACTACCAGAAAGCTGCAAAATGTTACATTTGTTTTGAGGTTTAAGCCCTTTAACCGCCTAACAACCGGCCTTTGTCGCAATGCAGCCGTTCGGGAGCCTCCTAGATGTAAACAGGCTGGCACACGTGAGTGGGAGACGACAAAAATGTAAAAAAAGGCAGCAATGCCTGTTTACACACAAGCGATCCGCAGGAGGATCGCTTGTTTCGGGTGCCGATCAGAGTGCCCCTCCCGGGGTCCGCTGTGCCTGGTGGGAGCACAGGACCAGCATGGTGGCTCTGTGACAGGGGATCAGAGGGAGATCGGTACACGATCCTCCTCCATCCCCTCTCCGGTGTCAGAATGTGGAAGTGATGTATACAACATAACTTCCGCATTCTTGTGTCACTCTCCAGCTTCAGAAGCTGGAGAGAAGTTGATGAAGCAAATGTCTCCATAAAGAGGACCTGTCACATATATTCGCAAGTGACGATTGCGGCCATTACGCAGCACATGTTACATATCACTGCAAATGTCGGAGTGAGAGCAATAATTCTAGGGCCATCAATCACTGATAACACTAAACTGATGAGCGGTAAAAGCTTTTAAAGCGTCACCTATGTTAAATTTTGGCTATGGTAGTTTTTTCCGAATTTCGCGGGTGCGCGCAATTTTAAAGCTTGACATGTTTAGTGTTTATTTACCCGACGTGACCCCGTCTTTTATATTTTACCAAAAAATTGTGCAAGAATAAATGTATTATAACATAATGTTAAAAAAACAAAAGCTTTTATTTCAAAATTTTAAGTAATTTTCCCCTAATATAGTCAAAAATAAAAACCGCAGTGGTGATTAAATCCCACCAAAAGAAAGCTCTATCCCCAAAAAATGCTATAAAATTCTTTTCAGTACAGCGTTGCATGACGGAATAAATGTCAGTCAAGTACTGCAGCGCTAAATACTGAAAAATGGCCTGGACAGGAAGGGGGTTTGACACCCTGGTCAGCAAATGGTTAAAGTGACACTAAATTTAGAAGTTAAATCTTAAAAATACATTCAAGTACCTTAACTATTAACAAAATGTATCTTATTTGTGCATCACTCAGCTGTAAATCATCTCTGAATTGGTGCTGACTCTGTCCTTCCTTCTGGAGGGTGGCTACTTTTGTTCCACATGATCCTGTGTATGTTGTAAAGTAGTCACCGCTCCAAGCTCACTTCTGTGTAGAGCTGCAACAACTAATCGACATAACTGATTATTGAAAAAGCTGTCAACTTTTTCAATCATCGATTAATTGGCTTCCGATTAGTTGGCCCTGTTCACGGCTCCACACACACTGCGCGCCGCACCTCCTCCCCACCTCACGCTCGCCGCTGCCAGACCTGCCCGCCTGCATCCACGCTCCACACGCCGCACCTCCTCTCCGCCTCATGCCTGCCGAAATCCACGATCGGCACAGGGGCGCGGGGAGAAGAAATAAGGAGGAGCAGGTGTGGGCGGATGACAGCCGCTGACAGACAGGCCCGATCTCAGAAGCAAGTTGCTGGAAGACTGCTCAGGTAAGCTTGCACTTTCCCATACATGGTGCTCTACAATGTATTGCTGGGATTTGTATTCCTTTATAGCTGATGGTACATTGTGCTCTATATTATACAGAGCAATATGCCATCAGCTATAGAGGAATACAAATCCCAGCAATACCTTATACACTCAATGTATAATGTATTGCTGGGATTTGTTGTATCCCTATATAGCTGGTGGTATTCTGCATTGCGCTGTATAGAGGACTACAAATCAAGGAATAATACATTATACAGTGGCGCAATGCAGAATACCACCAGCTATAGAGGAGTACAACAAATCCCAGCAATAATACATTATACAGTGCAATGCAGAATACCACCAGCTATAATGTACAATTGCTGGGATTTGTTGTATTCCTCTATAGCTGGAGGTATTCTGTATTGTGCTGTATAATGTACTATTGCTGGGATTTGTAGTCCTCTATAGCCGATGCCATTCTGCCTTCATTGCTGTATAATTTTACACTTTTCATTTCACTGTATTGCACACCAGTTTTGTTTTCTTTTTACTTCCACCGCTCCAAGCTTGCTCCTGTGATGGACTGCAATCTCAATACAAACTAGTAGTCCCATCACTGGAGCCATTTTTGAAAATGTATTTTATTTTTTATCCGATTAATCGAACTTAATAATCGGCTAACTAATCGATTTTGAAAATAATCGTTAGCTGCAGCTCTACTACTGTTTGACTACAATCTCAGTACAAATTGATTGTGCTGGGATGATGTCACAGGAGTTCATAACTGAGCTGGGCATGTACAGAATAAGAATCCTTTATCTCAGAGCGACATAGTAATATGTCTGTTTACACATTTTTATTTTTAATGTAGTTTCGCTTTAAACTTGGGCACTCTATTACCCCATCCCCCACCCACTAATACATGTCGTAATGTCAGCTTCGGAGGGTGCATCACTCAGATAACAAGAGATATAGATGGAGGTTTCACTGTATAAAGAGAAAGACTTACTTACGTGTCCATGAGAACAAGGAACTCAGCTGTACAGTTTCTATGTGCCCACGTCAGTTCCGGCAGGACGTCTCAGTGACGCTCACGCCTGTATGCGTGTAGTGGGCGGAGCAAAAAGGCTCTTCCGGTGTACGGTGGTTGCTAAGGAGACAGTAGACAGCTTGTGCTGGTTACTGACAACGGAAGAGCCTGGACGATTGATCCAACATGGTGAGTGATGGCAATATGATGTGCAGATTACAAATCACATAATGACAATGTACAAATTCTATTTCTTGTCTCACTATTAATCTTATACTAGGAAGCAATATACATCGAGCATATACCCATGAGCTCCACAAAGCATGTGAGATCTATAGTCGTGGTTAGACCATTACTATCTGATACTACTTTTCTGGGTCAGAGATTGTTTTAGGCCCCAGAAATGTTCCCTGGTGTGAGAATTCTCAGCTGTGCCATGTGGGATCATTGCATTCTTTTCACATTGGTTTGATGTACTGTGCTTCCTTTAAAGTCCAACACCAACCAAAACCTTTTTATTTAGTTTTGAGTGCAGGAGGAAGGATTAGAACCTCTGTCGGGGTTTTATTACTAACATTCAGCATCTTGTCCTTCACTATTGTCCATAATCGGAGCAGT